AAACGGGGTGGGGGGAGGGAAATGCACGGGATTATGGTGATGGCACATGGGTGACTTGGTGATGGGAAACCCGCGGGGATTACAATTGAGATGGAAAAAAAAAATGTACAAAATGATGTAAAAATAAACTTTTGTAATTAAAAAAAAAATTTTGTTTGCATAGATGTTGAACACTTGGACTAAAACAATTCTGTTTTCAAAATATCCTAGGTTCACAGAAGCGCAGTCCGTAGGCGGCCTTCATGCTGCCCTCTCTAGCCGTGTCCAGTACTGCCCTCCACGCAGCAGTCGCCAGTCGCCACGTTAACGTGACGCAGCACTGGTGACTCCAGCTCCCTAGGCTCCTCGGCGGCCCAGGACAGTCGTCCCCGCCCTCAGCTCCCGCTCATGACTCTCTGTCTCTCTCACCACCTCCGGCCAGAGCAGGCTCAGATGCCCGGGGATGCCTGGGCTTTCTCTGACCACACCAAGGCGGGAGGCGTGGTGGCCTGGAGGGGCAGTGCCTGCGCATCGCACCCCCGGGTTGGGTCAGCAGCCACGTGTCCACTATGCAGGGACCGTCCATTTTAGGGGCAATTTGCTCACTTACCGCCCAACCAGGCCCCGGGCACACTCACTTTGATCTTGGGCTCTCCGCCGGGCTTGTGGCTAACTTGGGGTGCGTCCGTGTCCATGTCGACTTCTGCTTTATCTTCAGCTTGTCCGAGAAGGACCTGGGTCCAAGCTCTGAGGCCAGCTTGCAGGCGAACACCCAATATTCTTTCAATCTGCAAAGAACAGTTACGAGTTGAGGACTCAGTCGCCTGTCACAGCAGTCTCGCGCCGGCCACGTCCCCATCTGGGCGACTGAAGCACCACGCCCCAACGTGGGTGATAAGCAGGTGGACCAGGCGGCAGGGCAGCGAAGGTCTTGAACCTGTGCAAGAGAACTCCGAAAATGTGAGGGGAGGCCCGAGAAACTGCGTCATTTGGAAGAAACCACCTTCTTTAGACAGGTGCGTCCACCTCGGTGACCTCTGGTCGCCTCCCTGGAGTCTGCCTCTAGCCACACACTCACCAGGGGGAGCCACCAGCGGTGGGGGAGGGAAGCGGAGCGCATGTACTGCTCGCCCCATCAAGCCTGCTGCGCAGGCACTTGCTCACAGAGAGGGAGGAGCCCGCGAACCCCGAAGGCTAACAGGCTCTTGCCACCCACCCCGGGGACCAGCTGCCCACAACATCCTTCGGAGACACTGCAGGGCCAGGTGCTGACCCCCACAGTGAGAGCCACGTGGCCGACATGGGCCTCGGGCCAGCACATGCTCCCTGACGCCACAGAGCCCGACCCTCCACACCGGGAAGGGGGGACTTCACTGCCGGCTATGGCTCCTGAAAGCAGGGAGGCAGAGTGGGCAGGCTTGTCAGAGAGGATCCATCCCTGGGGAGGCCAGGCGGCGCCCGAGTCACTGGAAGAACGGTCAAGTGGCCAGAAACGAGGCGCTCCCCCTCAGCTGTCTGCCGCCAGCATGGAGCGGACGAGCGGCTGAGCGCGCCCAGACATGCTCCTGCTGGGTCAAGGGTTTCAGAGGGAGGCTGGCCCTCACCGCCGCTCCGTGGAAAATGCTCTTCAGTGCCAGGCAAGCTCTGGGAGCGGGGTCCGCCCTCCGCTGACGGGAAAGCGAAGCACTCAACCTCCTCAGCACCGCCCTTACCTCCATGTCCAGCTTGTTGACCCAGATGGGCAGGTTGGAGTAGGAGTGCAGGTTTAGGTCATCCACTGCTTTCTGGACCCTGTTCAGGATCTCCGAGAAGGTCTTGTGGTCGTACATGCACGTTTCCAGGGACCGGACCTCCAGGTCTATCTTCTCTTCAATGATCAGCAGGTCATCCACCTGCACAAAGGCAAGTTGAATAATTAACCCACCTGCTCCCTATTTTTATACACCTTGGGGGCCCTCAGGTTCTAGAACGCCACAGCTAAGCAAGTCACGTGACGCCCGGCGGTCCCCGGGCACACCAGAGCCAGCGCGCTCCACTGCGCTTCCCCGCCGGCAAGGCCCGCCTCCCGCCGCTCGCCCCCAGCAGTGACAGGCTGCCTCCCGCGGGCTTCTACCGACGCCAGCGAAGAGCCCAGAGCCTGCCAACACCCAGGGACGGGGCCTGGGGCGGCATCAGCCCCTCGAGACCCGCCAGGACGCAGGCGCAGCTCACCTTTTCCTGGAAGTTGAAGACGGTCTCTGCCAAGCGCTGCACGTAGGGGTCGAGCTTGTAGGACTCCCACACTAGCGCGATGCCCTCTGCGATCAGCGCCTGCACTTCCTTCTTCAAGCCCGCCACCAGGAGCGAGATGGTGCTCCGCTCCTCCACCTTCTCGCAGGTACGCTCGTAGGTGCGCACGCTCTCGATCAGCGAGATGGCGAACGGGTACAGCTGGTTGGCCTGGTGCGCCTTGTTGACGATGGCCAGCGGGACGCGGAACCCAAGCCACTTGAGGTTGCGGACTTCCTTGGAAAGCGTGATGATCTCGGGCAGGAAGTTCACTTTCAGCTTCAGGACGTTTCCCGTGCGGCCCCGAACCCGGGTACTCTCGATGGTGAAGATGCGCCCCGAGACGCCGAGGTTCCGCTGCTGCACCTTCCTGGCCCAGTCATCGAAGATCTCCTGCGTATTGAGCTTCATGCGGAAACTGTCTCCGTCCTGCTTCAGCTTCTGCCCTTCCACGTGGTTCTCCCAGCCCTTGCCCAGCACGTCCTCTACACGCTTCATGTAGGCTGTCAGCTGCCTGTCGATCTGCTTTGCCCAGATGATGGACCCCGACACGGGCGGCAGGTCCCGCACGTGGCTCATCTTACACGCCTGGCTTTGTGGGTACTGCACCTTGAACTTGTCGTGAAGAGACTCGATGTCGTCTTTCACGCGCTGGATGAGCTGGGTCTGGTACTCACGGATGGCCCCACGAATGTGAGGCCTGACAAACAGGGCGTTGAACCTGGAGAAGATCCTAAACATCTCGTTGGCATTCTTGGCGGTGCCCAGCTGGTCTCGAAGGCGAGCGGTGATGCGGGTCTCCACCCTGTCGATCCTCTCGTCGTACCTCTTCATGGCGGCCTCCCACGCCTCTGTGCCTTCTTTGGAAACGTCGAGCCCGTCGACCTCCTTGACGTTCTCGTAAGCGAGGTTTACTTCCTCGATGGCATTCGCGTCCGCGGCGTCAAAGAGAACCTCGGCGACTTTCATGTCCTGGGGCTCAGGCACCTCTCCTTGGTTCTGCTGCGCCACTGCTGTGACCTGAAAGGCAGAGAAACCCAGTGTGGGTCTCACCTTGCTCAACACCAGCAGTCTGTGCCACACCAACGGGATTCAGCTAGCTAGGCCTGTAACATTTAGTCACAACTTCGGCTTGGCAAGGCCGAATGAAATCCTACAGCAGCTGTTTTAGTTACGCACCGCAAAGATCTACTGACAACGTGGTTTCATTGTTCAAGAAGTTAAACTGACACGTGTTACACCTGGGTTCTTGGGTTATTTCCCTTTTCGGGGCCTACCCACCGCTAACTCTGTTTTGCAAAGCTCGGCAACCAGAGGCGCGACCTACCACTTAGTCGCCAGGGCATGGTCTTCCCTTTTCATTTCTGAAGACCATAAAAAGTGACTGTGTCTGGGTCCTCCCTGATGGTGCAGCGTGTTACAGCACAGCACTGAGAAGCTAAAGCCACTTCGGCATGAGTTCGATCCCCACCTGCTTGGGAGGAGATCCACATGGCGCGGCAGACCTCTCCTGACCCGCCCGCTGCTCCCCTCAGCAGTTTGCTTCCTCATTCCGCCTGTTCTGCTCCCCATCTGTCTCTGGTGAAGCCTTTCACTGCCCCTGCGCCCCAGGTCTGTATGCATAAGTAAATAAATCTTTAAAAAGAAAAAAAAAAAGTGACCATGTCTAACTTCTCACTGCCACATCACAGGGACAAGAGCTGCGACAAGAAGAAGCCCCACCGGGTGTCTGCGTGCTGCGGGGTGCAGCTGTGGGCTGTGCCCAGGAAGTCACTTCCAGGGTGGCTCAGGCCCACACCCCCAATGCAAAAGCGAGGCAGGTGCCCTGGGTGACTCAGGTCAGCTTGGAGAACTGTGATCACCTCACTAAAACCCAGCGTGCCCTGCACTTTCTGCAGCCCCGGCCTTTGCCCCGGCGCCCCCATGTCACATCTGCGACGGGCCTTCCGAGCGCGCCCACATTCACCGTTCGTCCAGAACCACAGCTCCAGGCCCATCGTGGGGCCTTTCCATGTCACGCGGCGCTTTAACTGTGCAAAACAGAAAGCTAGTCCCTGGGCCTGCACCCCAGGAAGCAGCCCGACCTCCAGCGGCGCACCTGAGGCCGCAGCACCCTGACGATGACGGCTCTCAGCTGCTCGTGCTGGCGCCTGAACTTCCGCATCTGGTCAAGGCGCGCCTGCAGCTTCCTGTGCGCGGGGTTGATCCGCCACACCATCTTCAGGTTTTCCTCCCTCTTTCTTTTGACGATGTCTCTCAGTAACACCTGAAGCTTCTCATATTCGTCATCCCAGGTCTGAAAAACTTCAAAGCATGCTACCATAACCTAGGGTCCAAATTGAGAAAGGAAGCTTGCGTTAGAGCGCGTTCTCACCCCAAGGCCCTGAGGGTGGTTTCTGATGGATTAAGGAAACTTACTTTTTCAAATTCTTCGTAAGCAACATGCATCAATTTTCTAGTGCCCAACACTTTGAGTAACTGAGAACTCAAGTCTCTGGAAATCGCCTCCACCAAACGCAATGCTCTCTGAATGGGGTATTTTGTGTTTCGGATCTTTCTCAAATGGGTGAAAATGGCGACCAGTGCCTGCCTTATCTTGTCCAGCTCGGTGGCAGACAGCAGGTCATTGAGAGGAAAATCTTTCATCAGAGGGTTGTAGTCATTCACAGTTTCCAAGGCCTGTTTTAGACCTAGATCAAGAAAAAGGTTTCTCAGCAAGCGTACAGCTCGAGGGTACCCCTTACCGCCTAGTACGGCGTCAGTTAAGGAAATACACCTTCACATCGGCACGTCTCGAAGTTGCAAAAGATTTAGTAACAGCAAAATGTTTATCATCTCTGAAAAAACAAACTTTCTCTGGCATAAGATTAAAAAAAGAACAGTGCATTAGGAAAGGCTTCAAAGTTACTACAAAAAAACCCCAGGAACATCCACATTAGTGAATAAAAGGAACTGGAGTTGCCTCTGACTCTACCCTGGGCACATCTCTTTAGGCGCGGGAGGAAGCGGAGAGCACCCTGCAGCCTGAAGTCCCGTCGTCTGTGAGGACAGATGCCCAGCCCACTGCCAGTGAAGCGTGCGTTGCTGAGGTGAGCCACGGGTCACACTCGCCCACTCGGGAAACCGCGTGTCTCCGGCCACGTCCTGGCAGGGAGGCCGCCAAGGACGGGGCGGCAGCTGCTACGCAGGGAAGTCTCGACGGGCTTGGGGCAGCAAGCTCTGCTTCACCCAGCGCCGCCCTGCCCGGAGCCTCGCACACCTGGCTGCAGAGGAAGCCCCGGCCAGAGACCGGAGCCACAGCGGGCCAGGCGGCGCTCCGGGCCTCTCCAGCAGGAGAGGAACTGACCCATGGGCTGAAAGCCCTCGAAGGGGAAGGGAGGGTGGCGGGAAAATCATTTCCTCACCCAGAACGGAAGGAAAGGAGACATGCGCACGGCAGGAGGGGATGGCGGGCACAGCTAATTTGCACCCACGCTTCCCAGGGACCGGAAAACCCGGCCAGACCCCCGGCCGAGTCGTCACCTGTGTCTGTGTCGAAGCTGACGGTGGCGTGGAAGCGTTTGCCGTGTTTCAAGATATCCAGGGTGAGGAGAACTTCCGGGCTCTCTCGTTTCTCCTGGATGCGATAGAGCGCACGTTCCAGGTTTAGCCAAAAGCTGATTTCCTGCAAGGCAGTTCCTGACGCAGGGTCTCGATCAAGTTTGGTCACCTTTAAAGAGAAATGGCATGAAAGAGTGTCCGCTCTCTAAACCAAGGTACAAAGAGTATCGTGGCCCGAAACACCATGACAACGAATGCAGGTATTCCGGCAGGGACCTCCCCAGTGCACTCAGGTGATCTCGGCTGACACCAAAGGCATAAAACAGCTCAGACGAACAGCCCGCCCCAGCCCCAGGCTGGCACCCCGCAGCCCCTCAGGACCCCGGCCTGCTGCCCACACTACTCTGCTGACATCCAGGCCCCGGGGAGGGAGCGCAGCTGCCACACGAATCCTGTCCGCCGACACCGCCCAGGCCGCCTCGCAGTCGAGGGCAAAGCGCCGCACACCAGCAGCTGAGCCGCCCTTACTTTCTGAATTTCTCGGATCCAGCGGTTGACTCCAGACTGTAACTGGTTGAGAAAAGTTGGGTCTTCGACCTTATCTCCGAAGTCTGTGACTTTCGGCTTTTCTCCACGTTCATAGCACTGCTTTGCCACGTTTGTAATGATTGGGTGGATGGGCAGGCTGATCTCTGGGATCTCAATATTCTGCTGCAGGTGGAGGAGACCCATTTCAAGTTCTGCGATCTTTTTCTCAACCGAGGGAGCCATTTTATCACCATCCCTAAAAAGAGGAGGAAACCCGCACGTGTTAGAGTACAAGTGGCCTCCAGAGACATCATTTCAGCCTCTCAATCCGATTACCATAGACCTGACTGACCCAAAGGACTGAGACAATGTTCTCTTCTCGACTTCCCTTCTGAGTCCTGAATTAAGATCACCTTCAAGCTTGGGAACATCAAGTGAAAGATGACATATAGATTAGTGAAGGGAAAGGGGTGTTTTACCTGTCTGCCTTGCCAGACTCTCTGATGTAGGACTTGAAAAAAGGAGCCACCGCATTGCTAATGAAAGAATGCAAGGTTTCGTAAGGCGAGTCTTCACTGAGGGTGAGCACTCGGAGCTGAGAAGACACTGGTTTGTCTGCATCGATTACCGGAGTCCGCTTAATGAACGCCAAGCTGAAAGGAAGCAAGAGAAAGAATTAGAGCAGATGCTCATTCCTGTCAATCTTAGAAACATCGCCTTCTGCGTTGCACATGAATTTAAAATGCTTGGCTCTTTTAATTTAAAAATCGTATTACTGAAGAGCTCCCTTCTATTGGTGCAATGTGCTTCATACACTTTTCACTCACCTGAGCACCATGGGGCCAAGGTTATAGCTGCAGCGCATGGATGGTGACACAGGCTGGTTCGCTCGTCTCATGCACAGGTCGAGCTCATAACTGGCCTAAGGCTGACCTCATTGGCCACTGTGAGTTACAGCTGTGAGGTCGTTCATCAGCCCTACACCAACCTGCACCAGCCATTTACAGCACTCAGTGACAGGCCAGCTTTAATCAACGAAAGTCATCCACAGGTGAAAGTGTTAAGAGGGTGCTCCGGCTCCCCACAACCCGGCCTAACCAACTCTTCCAGTTCCATCATCCACCCTGCGCCCCTCTCCCCACACAATGCCATATAAGACGCACACCCCCTTCTTTGAATGTATCATGTGTTTGGTGTACAGGGGGCCTCCGTGGTGGCGCAACGGGTTAAAGCACAGCCCTGTGAAGCTATCTGCAGCCACTACAGATCAAACTGACCGAGTCTGATCCCTGGTCAGGGAGTGGCCCACATGGCACGACAGACCTCTCCTGACCTGCCACTGCTCCCCTCAGCAGTATATTTCAGTCAGTCTCTCTATTCTGCTCCCCGCTCTGGTGAATCCTCTCACCCTCCTGCACCTGTGGCCTGCACCCAGTTCTTATATGTGCGAATAAATAAATCTTTAAAAGAAAGACATGAGGGTCCTCCCTGGTGGTACAGCAGGTTAAAGTGTAGCATTGCAAGCTGGCAGGAGCTGCTTCAGTGTGAGTTTGATCCCCCACCCTGGAGGTGGCCCGCATAGCACAGCAGACCTCTCCTGACCTGCCCGCTGCTCCCCTCAGCAGTGTACTTCATCTATCTGCCTGTTCTGCTCCCCACTCTGGCTCTCGTGAATCCTCTCACCACCTCTGGCCTGTACCCTAGTTCCAATGCATAAATAAATCTTTAAAAAGAAAGACATGTACCCTGGTGATGCCAGGGGTTAAGTCTCAGCCCTATGAAGCTGCCTCTAGCCACTGTAGCACAAGGGCAATCCCTGGTCAGTCAGGGAGGTGGCCCACAGGGTACAGCAGACCTCTCCTGTCTCTCCGCTAACCTCGGCAGTGGGTTCCAGTGGATCTGCCTGTTCTGCCCCCACTCTGTCTCTGGGGAGTCCTAGAGAACCACCCACCCCCACCTCGGGCCTGCACCCAGATCTGGTGTGCGTAAATAAGTCTTAATAAGAAGGCGATGCACCGTCGTATCTGAAACTCCAGCGGCCTGCAAACCCAGCCCCAGCACACTTCTTTTTTTTCTTTAAAGAACTGTTTATTCACTGCAGTCGATGAATGCAACCCTGGCTAGGAATCGAACTCGTGCTGAGGCGGCTGCGGCCAGCTTCCTAGTGCTGCGCTTTAACCCACAGCACCGCCAGGGAGCAGCAGACCTCACCTGACCTGCCCCTTGCTCCCACTCTGTCTCTGGTGCATTCCTCATCCCTGCACCTCTGGCCTGCACCCCAGTTCTGTGTGCATCAATAGAATCAAACCTTAAAGAAGCAAAGACCACCACGGAAGCCGCAGGCTGGCAGCCGGGCTGCACCCTCACCTGTTGGACTTCACTCCGTAATGAATGTCGATGTTGATGTTATAGGAAATGAATTCTTTTTCTTCCTCTCCTTCATCACCAACATCCTCTACAACACAGTGAAAACGTCATTAGACTTGTGCCAGTATTTCCCATTTTTAATTAACCAGCTGCTAGAGGCGACGGGGGTGCCCACCCCGCCTCGCAGCGAGCCCCTGCGTGCAGCCCCACCCAGCCTGCCCTCCGCCCACCTGTCCCGACCACCACGCAGTCACCCTGTTTGCTGTGAGACCCTGGGCCAGGTGACCAGCCTCCGGCTGCCATTTCCCGGCCTGTAAGTCAGCACGCCCGGCGCAGGCAGGGCCAGCCCAGGCGGGCAGTGCAGGGCCCCCAGGCCAGTTCTGTTCCCCCAAGAGGTTCCCGCTGCCCCAACACTGAAGCCGTAGCAGGCAACAGGCGCTGCACGAAGACTCGCACTCGGCCAGCCCCGGACAGGCCTCAGGGCCTGGCGCCGACAGGGAGCGAGTTTTCCAGTGCGGGAGGCGAGTCAGCCGCCCAGACCGAGGTGGAGGGTTCAAGGAGGCTGAGGAGCCCGGGCCTCAGCCGCTGCGCCTGCCCCTGCTCCCCAGCGCCAGCGGCGGCACCCGCCCCCGTGAGCCTCGGACGCGCGCGCTGTGGCCCTGGTGCTCGGCCAGGACACACACAGTGCGCACAGGCCGAACTCCCGAAGAGTTAAAAGATCGAAATTGGAAACATGAGCAAACGTGAGAATGGGACACAACGCGAACTTGCAGGTCCAGCACCCGTCCAGGAGATGCCACATCTCTGCGGGCCAGGGCGCGGGGCTGAGTCGCAGCGCTGGAGGGCGCAGCAGGTCCCTCCTTTCCCCCGCTGCGCCCTCAGTGGACCTGCCTGGCCTGCTCCCCACTCGGCCTCCGGGGAGCCCTCTGGCCTGTACCCCAGTTCTTGTGTGCATTATCAGTCTTTTAAAAAAGTGACTAAAGCGCACACACACAAATCAACTGTTCTGTAAAGAAATGGGGGCTTACAGCAGATGACCCGCTGCCTGAAGCCAGGCACACACGCTGCGGGAGATCAGCAGCTCCTGCGATAAGCCACAGGCACAAGGAGACCCCCCAAACTCAGGGCAGCTGGCAGGGGCTCAGCAGGGCTCTCCTCGCTCCGTTTTCTGAAGAGGTGTACTACCACCGATGTCTGTGAAGCACGTTACAGAAACAGCACCCAGGGGACACACGGGAGGTGAAGGGGCCCCTGCGAAGTCACCACAGGAGTTCGGGACAAGGAACCATGGCGTGCTGGCCGAGTCCTCTTCGGGGAGGGGGCTTCGGTCATAGGAAACTGGGGCTGGACTCGGGCTGCGCAGGGGCACGGTGGGCCGCGGGGGCGGGGAGGCGCGCCTGGTGAGCGGGACGCCACCTCGCCTGCAGCTGACCTCTGCTGACGCGGCGTTAAGGAGGGGCATGACCGTCAGCCGGGCCTCATGGGCTAGCTCTGCAGTGCGGGACACACCCCGGCGGCAGCCTGAGGGCGCCTGGCCCCCGCCCGCTGAGGACACCCAGACCCTGCTTGGCAACTGCCACCCGGTACCTGAAGCCCTGGCCACCTGCGCGTTGTTGCAAACAGCAAGTACCTGCCAAATGCCGGTGTTCTAACAGCCTACCTCTGCAGAAACACTTACAAAATCTCAGGAATCTAACAACAGAGAGGCTATTCACCCGTCCTCCCGGCAGAAGCCACTGCCAGACACAGCCCACGCGTTTGTTCAGTTCACATCCTGGAGGTGTGACTCAGTTTCCCCATGCTGCCAATGCACCTGGTCAACACACAGGTGGCTGACACTGTCCACTAGGGACAGTGCGTGGAGTGGGCTCCTCGGCTGAGGCTCGCTGCAGCAAGGCCCCCTGCACACGACAGTGCCATGCACACATCTGTGGTGGAAGACTGAGTTCATATATTTTCCAGAGAGTTCCAAATGTTGTCTAGCGCCAGTGTGTGTCTACTTGTGCTGGAGGACTGAGACGCAGTCCAGACTCGGCCAGTCCACCGCCGTGCACTGCAGCATCTGCACTGGAGGAGGCGCTCAAACACGCACGCACTTTCCAGGCCTGCGACTCACCCCTAGCCTCCTGGGGGCGCAGGGTCAGTCTCAGCCCTGGGAGGCCGTCCCAGCTGCTGCAGCACGAGCGATCCCGGCCAGAGAGTGACCACAGGGCTCAACGGACACCTCAGCAGTAGGTTTCAGTGGACCCATCTGTTCTGCTCCCCACTCTGTCTCTGTGGACTCCTCTCACCCCCTGCACCTCTGGCCTGCACCCCAGTTCTTTGTGCATAAATTAATCAATCTTTAAAAATAAAGACTCACCACGTGGCCTGGCCAGATGGGGTTTCTCAAGTGCCTGCTGAACTGGCCACTGGGAGCCTGCTCCTGGCCACCCCGCACCCACTGTCCAGGGACTCACCCGGCCCTCTCAGAGTCTGGGCAGGTTGCTGCGAGTCCAGCAAAGGCCACAGGCCCTTTTCGTGGCCCCCTCCCACACCAACTCGCTCACTACACTGCCTGACCATCACGCTGCCTAAGGTGCTTCCCTCTTTCCTCAGGGCTTTAGCTTGTCCCTCTGCCCCTTCCCTGGTACTTTCTCCTGCCAGGCCCAGGCCCAGGCTCCCTCCTGACGAGAACTGAGTCTCTGCCTGGTCCCTGTCTGCTCCAGGGCAAAGCTAAGAATGGGGGTTAGGGAGTCTCAGTTTCTCAGCAACCTAGAGCTTCCCTGGGTACAGCTGTTAGAAACATGGAGCCAGGCAGTCAGGCCTCACTTTGATACTGCAGGGGGAAGTGAGCTAAAGAGCTAACGTTATTACTGCCCGAAGAACTAAAGACAATACTGTTTAAGGTTAGTATGAAGCATGAAAGATTTAACTAATATGGAATATAAGCAAACACTCCTTTCTCAGACACCAAGAAACTGAGGACAGAAATTCATTTTCAGGCTTCTGACGGGTCTGGTAATTCCGAGGTTTCAGACTCTTCCTTACAACAAAGGAGGCCGGCCCACGGTAGTCTGGGATGCGGAGACGGCACAGACAGCACTTCCTCCAACCTTCGCTTTCTAATTACGGGGCTGGCTGGTGAGCAGGGCGGCACCTACTGCTGGGGCTGGCTGGTGCCCATGGGCTCGCCACGCCCACCGTGCCCCAGTCAGGCCTTCAGCAGCCAGGCGCACAGATCCTGGCCTTGCGTTCAAGGGGCGCAGGGCCACAGACCCTCCCCATTCACTGAGTAATCATCTTGTGAACCATTCCCGGGCTACGCAAAGGCCAGAAATGAATAATTTTAGTCATTCATCTTTTATTTCTTCATCCTCAGAAAAGTTTTAAATCCACAAAACAGTCCCCACCGCTCCCTCCAGTAAGCTGAATCCCGCAGCAAACACTAGCTCCCTTCCCCATGCCAGTCTCACAGTATCTCCACTGCCCACACCCAAATCTCAGGCCAGGCTGGAATGCGGGGTTAAACTAAGTCACTGACTGAGGCAACGGCTCTTTAATCAGACACGGGTGCCCAGGCTAAGAGATCTGAGCGTAATGAAATATAAGCACCCGGTCGCACCTGGCAGAGTGACCAGAGGTCACGCGTCAAGTCCCAGGACTGCAGACCCAATGCAGCACCCGCCCGGTCCCTGACCCACCAACCCCTGTGGGTGACTCAGCAGCCCCCAACTTCAGCCCTACGACAGAGACCACGGCAAGGTGCTGTGAGCCGCATCTACCCCACCTCAAGGAAGCAGGGACTACAGAAAAGGGGCGCTCCTTTTCAAGGGGCAATAACTGAACACTCCCCCCTTCCTGCCAACACCTCCAATCTTCACCATCAAAATAAACTGCTAAATTTGCAGCCTTTGGTCTATACTTTATGGACTGTTGTACTTTGACCCAAAAAAAAAAAAGTTTGTACTAGCGGAAGTAATTAAAAAGAGATATAAACACTGATTTTCATGTTAAAATAGGCTTCTATATTCAACCTCAAGTGTTTGCAAAATTCTTTCTATGAGTACATTGTTCCAATTTTAGTATTGTACTGCTGAAACTAGCAGGGAAATTTCTTTCTAAAATAAAGGGAGGAGGGGCCCTCCCTGGGGCTGCAGCCGCTGCAGCACAAGCTCAGGCTGACCCAGCGGCTGGGGCGCGACCCCCAGGGCGCAGCAGATTTCAGTCAGTCAGCCTGTTCTCGCCACTCTGTCTCTGGGGAATCCTCTCACTCCCACACCTCCGGCCTGCACCCCAGGTCTTGTATGCATAAATAAATAAACCTTTAAATAAATAAACAAATGTCAAATTAATCCTTCATAGTCCCTGGGAAGCAAGGCCTCCTACCAAGCCCTGGGCCGGGTCTTAGGCCTGATTCATGCTCACAGAACAGGTGCTGGCACACCCGGCTGGACGACAGGGTCTCCCTTAGACTTCTAAGTGAGAGAGTGACAGGGTGAATGTCTCAGACACAGATCAGTTTCATAATTACAAGAATGAGGCAGGATTTCAGTTTTAGAGTGTCTCACTCCTCAGTCAACTTTCAAAAGTGCAAGTCATTATGGAGCCAAGATTCCGACGCCTCCATGCACACTCTGCTGGAAAGAAATCTGTCCACAAAGAAAACAAGAGATGATTTGCTCTAGAAAACATACTAAGAATTAACCTTGTAATTTTAGTGAAGTTCAAATTCTAAGATTTCAGAAAGACAAATACCCATGAGTGCTCTGGAAACAAGAACACAAGTTACCAAATGTTTCCATAAAAAAAATTAAAACCCAAATGGAACCACGGAGTAGGAATGTGGAAATCACCTGTTTCCATGCCTAAACTGCAATGAAAACACGAGCAGGCACAGCCAGGGTCAGACTGGTCCAGCAGAGACCAGTCTGTGCCTTCCACAGCCCCGGCCACCGCACACACCCCAGGGATCTCCCAACAGGAGTGGGGGCCACTGCACACACAAGAGGCTCCTGAAAGGCCAGCCTGGACACCCGCCTCCCCGGGCTGGGGGACTAGAGCGGAAAGGACTAGGGGCCTGGGCCGATGAGCAGGATGTACGAAAACAAACACCTAA